ACTTCTGTAAATTCAGCCAAGAGGCTAAGAATCATAATAATACAGGAGCTGATAACCAGATTAGCCAGTTTAGGGAGGAATATAACCTCAGCCCAGTTCTGTGCCCTTGCTTTAGAGGTGTTGCATTTATTTGAAGGAATAGATGCACTATGGCCTTTTGCTTTTTCAGCATTTTTGTGTTAATTCCTTCTCACTTGTGAGCTTATCTATCTTCAGTCTTCGAGGTTGCTGACCTTTGAATGAGCTTTTTATGGGGTATTTTCTGTCGATGTTGTTGTTTTCTGTTTCTGTTTCTTTTTCTTTTTCTTTTCTTTTCTTTTCTTTCTTTTTTTTGAGACAGTGTTTTGCTCTCGTTACCCAGGCTGGAGTGCAATGGCGCAATCTCAGCTCACCGCAACCTCCGCCTCCTGGGTTCAGGCAATTCTCCTGCCTCAGCCTCCTGGGTTGCTGGGATTACAGGCACACACGACCATGACCAACTAATTTTTTGTATTTTTAGTAGAGATGGGGTTCACCATGTTGACCAGGATGGTCTCGATCTCTTAACCTCGTGATCCACCCACCTCAGCCTCCCAAAGTGCTGGGATTACAGGCTTGAGCCACCGTGTCCGGCCCTTCTTTTTCTTTTAACAGTCAGGCCACTCTCCTATAAGGCTGCTGTGGTTTGCTGGGGGTCTGCTTCAGACCCTACTTGCATCAGTTTTTTTTTTTCATACCTGAATGTATCACTAGTAAAGGCTGTGAAACAGTAAAGATGTCAGCCTGCTGCTTCCTCTGGAAGCTCTGTCCCAGTGGGGTACTGACCTGTTTCTGGCCCAAGCACACCTAAAGGAGGTGTCTCAAGACCTGTTAGGAAGTTTCACTCAGTCAGGAGGAGTGGGATCAGGGATGAACTTAAGAAGCAGTCTGGCTGCTTTTTTGGTAGAGAAGGTGTGCTGCACTGGAGGGAATCTGTTCTCGTCCAGAAAATCCTCTCCAAAGCCAGCAGACTGGAATGGCCAAATCAACTGTACCACAGAGATGACAGCCACCTCTCCCCAGGGAGCTCCATCCCAGGTAAAGTTCAGAGATCTGTCCATATAACCCTAGGTGGAGTGGCTGAAGACCCCACAGGGAGGTCCTGCTCAGTGAGGAGGAATGGAGTGGGATCCCACTTAAAGAAGAAGTCTGGCCAGGCACAGTGGCTCACACCTGTAATCCCAGCACTTTGCAAGGCTGAGGCAGGCAAATCATGTGAAGTTGGGAGTTCGAGATCAGCCTGACCCACATGGAGAAATCCTGCCTTTACTAAAAGTACAAAATCAGCTGGACATGGTGGCACATGCCTGTAATCCCAGCTACTTGGAGGCTGAGGCAGGAAAGTCACTTGAACCCAGGAGGCAGAGGTTGTGATGAGCCAAGATTTTGCCATTGCACTCCAGCCTGGACAACAAGAGCATAACTCCATCTCAAAAACAAAAGTCTGGGCATGATCTGGCAAAGCAGCTGTCCTGCATCATGTTACATATATTTAGCATAAATAGATAAGTCCCAAATTTTTCAAACTGACCCTTCCTCATCAGCACTGTTTTCACTCTCTAAAATAGGCAGGCTGAAATGACTGAGTTTACTGAACTACAGAGATGGTGGCCACCCTACCCCTGAGGAGATTTGTCCCAGAGAGAGACCAGAGCTCTCTCTGTATAATCTTGGCTGGAGTGGATCAAGTTTTCAGAGAGAGTCTCCACCCAGTGAAAAGGAATAGATTGGGGTCCTGCTTAAAGAAGCACCTGGCCACAACCTGGCAAAGTAGCTATTCCTCATTGTGAGAGATCCTTCCTTATCCTTTGGATTTGGACTCTCCAACGCTCACAGGTTGGAATGACTGAGGTCAACTGAACCACAGAGATGGCAGCCACCCTCCTGCCAGGAACTTTATTCACCTCAGGCAGACTTCAGCCGGTTGCAGTTGGCTGGCTAGAATTACAAGTCAGTGGGTCTTCACTTGTATGGTGCCATGGAAGTGGGACTACAGAATGACACTGCTTGGCTCTCCTAATTTACCACTCTTTTTAGGTGTAGGGACAAATGGATCTCACACCTCTCTGGGGATACTAGGGCTGGAGTATATAAAACTCCTGAGTCTCTCTGTGTGCCTGAGCAGCTGCTCTGCCAAGACTCCACACAGCTTTGTGTATCAGACCAAGGCCCTGGTAGCATGGGCTCAACAGAGGATCCCCTTATTGGTGGTTGCAATGATCTGTGGGAGAGAGTGTGATTCCGAGCAGGGTTGCATAATCATTCACCACTTCCCTTGGCTGGGAGTGGGTTTTTTTTTTCTGGCTGTGTGCCACTCCTTGGTGGGCTGTTTCCCCACCCTGCTTTTCTTCATTCTCTATGGGTCTAGTTGTTTGCCTAGTTAATCCCAATGTAAGAACCTGTATATTTTAGTTGAAAGTGCTGAACTCATTCGCCACTTTCATTCCTCTTTGCGAGTGCCATGGACCACAGCTGCTTCTAATCAGCCATCTGGGCCCCTCTCATACCACCTATTGATCTTCAGTTGGGAAAAATAGTTGTGTGAATTTGTTCAGTTCATTGGTGAATCTTTAGCACCCTAGGCTAAGGATTAATTGCCTATAGTGCACCACATTCATTGTAATAGCCAAAAATGTTTCTACATATTTCCACATACTTCAAGCAGGGTACTTAATTCTCACTCTATTTGAGGATGACAGTACCATAAAAACACACCACTATGTGTGGTTCTTAAAATAGACTGATTTTATATATTTCCAATTTTTAAAGTTAGATATATTTAAATCATCTGAAATATTTTATTATTTATTTTGCTATTTTATTGAAGTATAACATACAGACTCTATTTCCAGAATTAAGTTTAAAGAGAATAATTTGATGAATTTTCACCCATACATTATACCCAGGTAATCACTATCCAGGTTAAGATTTTAAACATTTCTAGTACTTCATGAATATTCATGCTTTTTTCAATCAGCCTCCTCTCAGAGGTAACTACTACTCTAACTTCTATCACCATAGTTTGGTTTTGTCTGTTTTTGAAGTCCATAAAAAGGAATTATAGTTGGTGCTATTCTATGCATACCTTTTCACTCAACAGTGTTTTTCAAATTTATCCATGTTGATACATTTTCAACAGTTCATTTCCTTTGATTGTTGTTAGTTACTCCATTTTATTATTGCAATTGATTTAACCATTCAACCATTGAAGTACACTTGTTTCCATTTTTTGTGTGTTATGAATAAAGCTGCAACGAACATCCTTGTACATGTCTTTGATATATAAATATAGTTGTTCCTCAGTATCCACAGGGGATTGGTTTCAGGACCTCTCATAGATACCAAAATCTGCTGATGCTCAGGTTGCTTACATAAAATGTCATAGTATTTGCATACAACCCATTCACATCCTCTTACATACTTTAAATCATCTCTAGATTACATAAAATATGAATACACTATAAATGCTATGTAAACTGTTTTTTGTATTGTTTTTTTATTTGTATTATTTTTCTTGTATTGTTAATTTTTAAAATATTTTTAATCCAGGTGGTTGAATGCAAGAATATGGAACCATGGATAGGGAAGGCTGACTCGTGTGTGTGTGTGTGTGTGTGTGTGTAAATAAAACTAATATACACTGACATATACATACACAAACTCATTTATCTTGGGTATAGGAGTAGAAATAAAATTGCTAGGGTCATAAGACAGGCATATATTTAGTGTAAGTAGATAATGCCAAAGTTTTCCAAACTGATTGTATAAATCTGCACTCCCACCATGATCTTCTGTTCATCAAAATCCACCATAAAAGAAGTAAAAGGCAAAGCCACAAACTGGTAAAATAAAAAATATTCAACCAAAGACTAATATCTAAAATATATAAAGAATTTCTATAAATTAATACCAAAAAAAGACAAACAACCCAATTTTTTTAATTGACAAAAGACTTGAATAGGTATTTCAGAAGAGGTTATCCAATGGCCAATAAGCTCATGAAAAGGTGCTCAATATCATTAGTAATCAAGGGATACAAAATAAAATCACAATAAAATACCACTACACATGATACACTTTGCAGGAATAGACTAATGCAACATACCAACTAGAATAGTTAAAATTAGAAACATTGGCAATATCAAATATTTTTAAATAATTCAAAACTTAGGCTTCCTAAAGAGATTTTTATTTACTTGTTATTAGTCAGCACTTCTGCACCAATATTATGAAGTAGGCATTATTTCTTCTACTTTACAGATGAAGAAACAGGATTGAGAATGTTGATTTGCAAAGTGATTTTCTATGAAGTGATAGAGATGAGACTTAAACTCAGAATTCTGACCACAGATTCTTTTTTTCACCTCAGTCTACCCTTTGGCACAGATAGAATAAATGCTTTCAGGTTCATATTACTTTTGAAGATCATTGGCATATCTTTTGCAAGATTAGCAAATGTGGCACTATTGTGGCAGCAAACTCCATACCAGACTAAAACAGTTCAAGTGAGAATATCTAAATTTCCACTTATAGATTAGAATATGCAGACAGTGTTACAAGCAGTCTGATCTCACTTCTCCAAGGGTGTTATCAGTGTCACCTATGAACTTGGCAGAAATGTGTTACACATCTGATTGCAGCATCATACTATGAATCAATGGAAAGGGCACATGTCTGAAATCAGATGAAATGAGTTTGAGATCTAGCATTGCCACTTGTTAGTTGATTAAGTGCAACCTTAGGCACGGTACTTAATCTCTGTGTTTTATTTTCTTTATAAAACAATACACCTATCTCATGCTTTTAGAGATATAGATAAAAGCCAGATTATTGAGATAATTATCCAGAGAATATTATAAGACCAATGGATACCTGAGCTTCAAGGGTAGGTAACTAATATTTTCATTAAAGTAGTATTGTTGGTTTTAATCTTCTCTATTAACCTTAGATAATAAAGTCTTACCTTTCACTTTTGCTTTCAGTTCCACTTGTCCTACACAGACAAGGAGCGCTACGAAAATGAAGAGAGACCTGAGGTCCAGAAGCAGATGCTTGTTGATATGGCCAAAAAGCTACCAGTTTACACAAGAACTGGAAGTGGAGGTCAGTTCATCCAAAGTCAGCTAGAGTGGCAGTTCAGCAAGTGTCTCAAAAAGGCTAAGTCATATACGTTTTCAAACTACCCCTTTGTTTTCCCCTCTCATCTTCTGAAAACCACTATGGAGATTTTCTCAGCATTTTATTTTAAAAAAATGTTAAACACATCAAAGCTGGCAGAATTGTATAGTAAACACCTGAAGAACGAAGGTTCTTCTGATTTGTCATCCTAATATTTCTAATAAGGATGATTATGTTTCACATTTGAAGAATTTAGAAAGTTTACTGTCAGATACTTATATTCATTGGTTCATCATTTATTCAGCAAGTATTTATTAAGATATATGGCAATTGGGGAAATTTTTTAAACTGGATTCTCCTACTAACATTTTACTATGTTGCTTCATCACATATCTGTCCACATATGCATACCTCTATTATCTTCCCTCAAGGCATCTTATTTTTCTGATACATTTCAAAGTAAATAGCTGACATCAGTAAGACATCTACCTAAATATTTTATTCTGTTTTGGTAAAATTTACATACAAAACATGCATAATCTTAAGTGTATAATTCCATGTGTTTAAAAAATGTACATATCTGTGTAACTAAACCCTATTAAAATTACCATCACCCCAGAAAGTTCTGTCATACCTCATTACACTCAGTCGCACCTCACTCACTCCCCATAGACAACCGCTATTCTGATAGCTTTTCACTATAAATTAGTTTTGTCTGCTCTCAAATTTTATATAGTTGAGATCATAGAGTATATGCTCTTGGGTCTGCCTTCTTTTATTCAACATAATATTTATAAGATTCATCCATCTTTTCATGTATTTTTTTATTGCTGAGTAGCATATAGTCGAGATCATAGAGTATATACTCTTGGGTCTGCCTTCTTTTATTCAACATAATGTTATAAGATTCATCCATCTTTTTGTGTATTTTTTTATTGCTGAGTAGCATTACATTGTATGAATGTATCACAGTTTATCCATTCAGTAGTTGATACATATTTGGGTTGTTTCTAATGCTTAGTTATTTTTAGTCAATCTGTTATTTTATTGTATAAGTATCTGTGCAAAGACATATCTTCTTTTTTTTGGGAAAATATCCAACACAGAATTTTACTCTAAGATTTCATCTACATGACTAAAACAGTAAGTACTTGTTGAATGAATCCTCCACCTTTTAAATTTTGAAGTCCCATTATCTGCCATCAGCAAGCTGAGACCCAGAAAAGCTGGTAGTGTAGTTCTACTTTGAGTCCAAAGTGTAACACTAGGAGAAACAATGGTATAAGTTCTACTCCAAGTTCAAAGGCCTCCTGAGATCCTTAGAGCCAATGGTGTAAGTTCAGTTTGAGTCCGAACTTCTGAGAACCAGGAACCCTGATCACATAAGTCCCAGTCTAAGGGCAGAATGATGTCTTATATCATACAGTCAGGCAGAGAGAGCAAATTCTCCCTTCCACTGAATTTTTGTCCTAATCAGGTCCTCAATGGATTGTGGAATCCCACTCACATTGGGGAAGACAATCTCCTTTATTGAGGTCTGCTGATTCAAATGCTAATCTCACCCAGAAACACTCTCACAGAGACACTTAGAAATGAGGTTTAACCAAATATCTGGGCACACTATGACTCAGTCAAGTTAATACATAAAATTAACCATCAGGATTAAAACCAAACCAAAAAAAATGGCAGATAGGTGGCAGGACTAACTTGCAGCTCCCACTTGGATGGACAGAACAACATGTGGAGTCTCGCACCATGAACTTTTGTTCTGGGAACTACCACAGGAACATAGCAAGAAAGCAAAAAGAATTCACCAATATTTTGAAAGAAGCATCTTGCCACTGCAAACTCCATGAGAGCCAAAACCTGTGAGTGCCCAAAGTGTAATAAGGGAAAAGTCTAACTCTGAACACACATACTTACTGGGGAATCTGAAAATTCCAATCATGGGAGAAGGATTTAACCTTACGCTGAAAGACATTTGGAGAGCCAAGAGAAACATAAAAGTAGAGGAAGCAGTGGGAAGAACCCTGTAGGCACTCCCAGTCTTCAGGGAAGCCCAGGCTAGCCATTTTCTTGTCACTAGGGCTCTCTTTACTTTATTTCAAGGATTTCTTCGGGAAGGAACACAGGGACAAGGAAACTTCCAGCTTGAACTTTGTATTAATTTAAACTGAGCATGAATTTTCTTGGCAAGATCAAGGGAGGTGAACAGGAAGCATAGATATGAGCACAGAAGCTTTGGCAGGTAGAAAGGGGCAGGGCCTGAAGGCCCTGATTGCTTTCTCCATGGGGAAGCTTGTAGCAGGGCAAGATCTCAGCCCTGCAAACTGGCTGCCTAGATATAAACTAGGTGCCATTAGTGGAGCATGGTGAGAGTGAGACTGTCCTTGCTGGCTGAATCGGAGTTTGGTGAGGCCTGTGACTGCTGGCTTTTCCCCATGTCCCTGTTGACCTACATGACATAGCAGAGGCAGCCATAATCTGCCTGGGAACATAACCCCATTAGCATGAGAACCAAATTCCCATCCCCCACAGCAACCACATCAAGCCCCACACAAGGAGAGTCTGAGCTCAGACATCTCTAACCTGTTTTCACCTGATAGCCTCTCTCTACATGCCATGGTAGCTGAAGATGAAACCTCTTGGGAGCACTATGTCCCTGCCCATTGCCTGAGAAACCAGAATACTTATCCAGGTGACTTTAGGGAAAGATTGAATCCTCCCACTATGACAGCTCATGCTCTCTTGAAAGTGCCATCTTCTGGCTGGAGGCCAACCAACTTAAGCCATTACAACAACGCATAAAAGAGCAACCCTGCTCCAAGAAAGGAGAATACAAAAGCTAATCCCACTGCCTGCAAAATCCTGGCTAACCAGAGGTCCTGAGTTTGTCCACATGATAGCTTCACTGTTAGGAAAAATGGCATTCAAGAAACCGGGGCAATAAACAACTACAATTAAGGATCCTCAGAGTCCATTTCACTCCCCTTTACCTCCACTGGAGCAGGTGCTGGTATCCATGGCTGAGAGAACTGAAGACAGATCACATCACTGGACTCTTTGCAGACACTCCCAAGTACCAGTACAGAGTCTGATAGCTCTGCTGGGTGGCTAGACCCAGAAGAGCAAATAACATTCACTGCAGTCTGGGTCTCAGGAAGCCCCATCCTTAGAAAAATGGGGAGAACACCATCTCAGAATTGCTCAGTGGGAGAAAAGAATCTGAACAGCAACACTTGAGCCACAGAATGTTCCTCTGGCATAGTCTACCCAAATAAGAAAGAATGAGAAAAACAATCCGGATAATATGATAAAGCAATGTTCTTTAACATCCCCAAAAGACCACACTAGGTAACAAGCAATGGATCCAAATCAAGAAGAAACCTGTGAATTGCCAGAAAAAGAATGTAGAAGGTCGATTATTAAGTTGTTCAAGGAGGGACCAGAGAAAGGTGAAAAACAACTTAAAGAAATTTTAAAAATATTACAGGATATGGATGAAAATATCTCCAGAGAGATAGCATAAATTTAATAAGTCCACAACTTCTGGAAATGAAACACACTTAGAGAAATGCAAAAGACACTGGAAAGTTACAACAATATAATTGAAGAAGTAGAAGAAAGAACATTAGAGTTCAAAGAAAAGCCTTTTGAATTAACCCAATCTGACAAAGACAAAGGAAAAAGATTCAAGGGAAAGGAGCAAAGCTTTCAAGAAGTTGTGGGATTATGTTAAATGATTATGTTATTCCAAAACCTAAGAATAATTGATTCTGAGGAAGAAGAGAAATCTAAATGTTTGGAAAATTTATTTGGGGGAAAATTTGAGGAAAATACCTCTGGCCTTGCTATAGATCTAGAAATGATCTAGAAATCCAAATCCAAAAATTCAAAGAACACCCAGGAAATTCATAGCAAAAAGATCATCACCTAGGCACACACTCATCAAGTTATGTAAAGTCAAGACAAAGCAGAGAATCTTAAGAGATATGAGGCAAAAGCATCAGGTAACCTACAAAGGAAAAGCTATCAGATTAACATCAGATTTGTCAGCAGAAACCCTACAACCTAGAAGGAATTGGGGTCCTATCTTTTGCCTCCTTAAACAAAATAATTACCAGCCAGGAATTTTGTGTCCAGTGAAAGAAAACTTCAGAAATCAAGGAAAGATAAAGTTTTTCAGACAAACAAATGCTGAGAGAATTTGCCACTATCAAGCCAGAGCTACAAGAAATGTTAAAAGGAGTTCAATATCTTGAAACAAAACCTCAAATACATCAACATAGAACTTCCTTAAAGCATAAATCTCACAGGGCCTATAAAACAGAAACACAATAAAAAAAGGCATTCACACAACAACTAGCATGATGAATAGAATAGTACCTCAAATCTCAATACTAATGTTGAATGTAAATGGCCTAAATGGTTCACTTAAAAGATACAGAATGGCAGAATGAATAAAAATCTACCAACCAAGCATCTGTGGTCTTCAAGAGATTCACCTAACACATAAGGACTCATGTAAACTTAAGGTAAAGGGATAAAAGAAAATATTCAGTGCAAATGGACACCACAAGTATGCAGGGTTAGCTATTCTTATATCAGAAAAAAAACGACTTTAAAGCAACAACAGTTTAAAAAGACAAAGAGGGACATTATATAATGACAAAAGGATAGTTCAACAGGAAAATATCACAATCCTAAATATACATGTACCTAATACTGGAGCCCCCATATTAATAGAACAATTACTGTTAAATTGAGAAATGAAATAGATGGCAATGCAATAGTAGTGGGGAACTTCAATACTCCACTGACAGCACTAGACAAGCCATCAAGACAGAAAGTCAACAAAAAAACGATAGATTTAAACTATACACTAGAACAAATAGACTTAACAGGTATTTACAGAACATTCTACCCAACTACTGCAGAATATACATTCTATTCATCAGCACGTGGAGCATTATTCAAGATAGACC